TTTTAAATGTTTCAAAAATAGATAGAAAATAAAATTTGTATTGTGAATTATTATTGTTATTATTATTATTATGACCCTCAAATTTTGTAAGTTTTTAATTTTGGATATATAAAGAATCTGAAGTAAAATATCAATAAAATTTTACTTTATATAATGCACATGATCACTAAAATATTACTAAATTATGTTTTATTAATGATTCTATTAAATCAGCAATTAACATGCCACTTTTGAAGATTATTGAAGCTTTGATTAAAGCCTGGCAAGAAAACTTTTATAATTGGATGTAATACCTTCAATTCTTCATTTTAACTTTCTTGAACAATTTTTGACACACAAAAAAATCTATTCATATTATGATTTGATGTTGGATCCAACTCTCAAGTTTTCCATTGTTTTAATTTCCTTCTTTCTTTTTCATTAGTACCTCCAAGCCACATTTCTACTCACAGTTTACTTTAAAGCATTTCTTCCAAAGTCCCTAAACTAACAAAAAAGTTAAGAAAATTACTTTTCATAGCCAATACCGACTTGAATACTAATCCCCACAATGACCCTACAATTGGTCCCCTATCCCCCACCAACTGATATTCATCCACTGAAATTCTTCATCCGACATTTTTCATCCCCTTGACGGTTAAGCTTGGAATGTCTCCGTTCAACTGTCAAGGAACACGACCGATGAACGTAGAGACCAAAAGAACGAATAAGGAAGCTGGAGGGATGAATGAAGAAGCCCCGCAACACAGTGCCGAAGGAAGCAAAAGCGTCGTCGCGCGAATAATAGACATCACCACTGGAGCTACGCAAGATGCCGAGGCTTCAATCTGGACCCGCGTCGATTGTGGCCCCAAACTATTGTTCGCAGCACAGATATACTCCACACGCGATGGATCGAAGATATAGTATTGAACTTCGGGGGGCTTGCTTGCTGTCAAAACCGTCAGGCGGCATTCAAGATTTGCCTCCCAGTTTTGGAAGCGAGTTGCAGGCTGTCATTGCAACTCGGTGACGAGGTCCTCCCCCGGCTCATTAGGCAACTTGTAACGACTGCGTTGTCGTCATTGCACGGATTATCAACGTCAATCTCCCGGTAACATCTGGCTTCGACCACTGAGATTCGACCCTGCATGTGGTGGTGGGATTTCTCTCGGGATCTAAGTTTGGGGGGTAAGCAGTTTTCGTGCAAGGAAACAGTGCACTGTTCCTCTTGCAACTGCAGGGTTGGTATTCCTGAAGTGAAAGACTGGCTCAGGTTGCGGGCCTGGTTGGACGCTGTTTGAGGATAGGACCTGGTAGCGATCCCAATGATTCACGACAGGATGAAGAGTTGTGGCGAGAGCTGGTAGGCTGGAATTCGGGGTCCAGTGTCTGTAAAAGAGCTCATCCATCTCATTGGCGAAGTTTATGAGGGCAAGTTTGGCATCGAGCATTTCGAACGGAATAGTCTACGAAGCCACCTTTGTGTGTTTTGTCTCGTCGGTTGGCACCTACCCCTTGTAAGGTCTGTCGGTATCCTCATAATGGAATGCTTGTGTGATACCTGCCGCCATTGTTGCTTTGTCCTGGGCAGGACGAGTGTGCTGGATTAGGGTCAGTGGGTCGCCGCCTCTATATCTTGCAGGCTGATCATTTTTGTCATGTTCTCTCTTTGAGGTGGTTCTTGGCATTGGTGAATAACAGACGCTCTGAAATGAGCTGGTGAACTGTTTGCTCATATAATCGTGACGATTTTGGCGCGTGAGTCTGTTTTTCATTTTATTTTTTATTTTTTATTTGTAACTACAACACAACAACATTTTATTTTTTATTTGTTATGGAGATAGTGTTGAAACGAAATTGGTCTTTCGTCGATGATGAGGAACCTAACAAGGCTCCCTGTTACAGATTGCAGTGAGCCTGAGGATAGCAGTGCGCTACTGAGCAATGGATCTATGCAATGGAACACGCAGGTGAATTGCGTTCTTGTGATTCAGTTTCAAACTGTAGTCGTCTCTCATGCCCCTAGCACGTCACCAGAGAACAGTATGCTGGGTATGAATGCTAGAATGATATGAGAAATGCCAATTGTGGAAACAGCTGCCAGCGGAGAACCTTTGACTTCCACCGTAGCTTTATAAGGTCCGTATTGTGGTGGCTAGTTTAATTCTTTCAGCATGAAAAACTTCTGGGTGTGCTGAAAACACAAATTGAATATCTGAGGAGATAAAATATTGAAATATAATAACACTGCGTTTTTGTTTGCAATTGTTTGATGACAGAGTTGCTGGAAGCAAGCGGTATAATATTAGTGACAGGCAACTGCAAGGAATTTGTGCTCAGAGATTGCTAGACCCTTTCTTTCAAACGATATCAAACAACACACACTTCCTTCGGGCATTTTTTGGTTCCGTGGATGGTACCTTGAGGATTTTTCCAGGATCAGTAATACGCTTAAAACCAATTCTTTTCTAGTAATATTCACAAAGCCCAGAGCACTGATGAAAGCATTTGTTCATTTACTCTCTTTTTCTTTTTCTTTTTCAAATTTAACTTTTTGGTGTGTATATCCAGAAAGTTCATGGTCCTTCTGTTTGCATTTTTCGCAGAAGTGAGCAACATTTACAGTAACCATTCTCCTATGCTGTGTACGTCATAACTAGAAAATAAAATGGTTTTTTTTGTCGTGTGCAGGATGATCGCGACTGCAGCAGCTATGATCCTCGCCCGCGACCATGGTAAACCATACTTTGTGAATCAAAGCTACCTAAAAAACATGCAACATCTATGCAAAATCCTACTCCCGAATTTGTTGAAGTTTCGGATTTAGACAACGCGTTCTTGAATACAACCACTCTTGGCGATTATGTGAACGTTTTCGTACACGATCATGCAACAGTGGAACTACTCTCTGAAAAAGCAGTAAGTGTCGACTATATCACATCGTCGTTGATTAGCTTGATATAATCGCACTGATTCACCCTTTTTTCATTGTCGAAGAACCTGATGGAAGATATTAGGTTCATTTGGGTTCGACTCCTTTGAAACCTGCGTGATATTTCTGCAGGTAAGAGTGACAGATGCAGCCACCCACCAGGATTTCGGAAACCTTACCACTATGCTGTAAGTATCGAATCAAAAGCCGTTCTTTCCCAGGGATATCCCATCTAAAGTCACGAAAGCATTTACTCAAGTGATAACGCACGTAAATATCAACACAGATATTACAAGTGAATATCTCAAGGTATGCATTTCGGTGATTCCAGTCTCAAAACTCTGAATGACGTTATAGTTGGATCTGACATTCGAGCAGTTTCCATAGCTAGTGATGATTCTCAATATTGCAAACATTGCAGGTGATTATAGTGTTCACCGACGGCCGGGTTCTTGGACGCCACAAGAGATTCTCAATTACCATGGGACTTCATCAAGGCAAACAATGCGAACTTGTTTGTGTATATGCACCCGCCCTCTAGCTCCACCACTATCCCAGCTGGTTTTGGACAGCAATTCTGTGATGTTCGAGGATATTTTGAGAAAATCGAAGAAACCGCTCCACAAAATCCGCTGCTCACGTTGCAATCGTATTGTTCATTCATTCCAGTTACATGGGTACTGCAATAGACTAAAGCATTTAGCATGTTCATTGCACCGAAGTGGACAATAGGACCTTCACTCTAAGTGAAACAGGTACACGATTCAGAGTTTTTCATCATTTCTCCGTTCAAATGTGGTCCTGCTGATGGTTTTGCTCGAGAGACTATTTTATCCCCCACACCCAATTCAATGCAGTGTTCTCAACTACGTTGCTGTTATTTTTGGCAGCGTTCAGCGACAATTAAGAGCTTCTGGGAGTTGTGGCCATAAACATCTTCAAGAGTAAGTTCGTAGCGAGCAATATCGACAGGGATGCTATGGAAGCTGCTGTAAAAAAGAGGACAAATCCCGGGGTTAATTCCAGTGCACCGAGAGATCAGAGCACTCCTACCTGTCCCAATCAGGTCTGACATTCTTCCATCGTCAGATCAGTCCACCTTTTTTCTATATAACAAAGTTCAACTCTCGTGGATATATGATATATGATATTTATGTTTTAACGTCTGTTATTAAGATTGAGGACTGTTTTTCAGTCTGTTATTATTAAATTGGCTATGTAGTAAGATAATGTCATAATGTTTTTTAAGGTCACGTGCTTTAAAAAAAAATTGTATGTTTTTAGTCAAGTGTGGCCCTTTATTATTATGCAATTGAACGTCTAATCTAAATCAATTATCGTATGAGAGAAGACTATCTCTAAACGCCTTTTGCATTGAGGCAACAAATCACATAAAGATTCTATTTTAAATTCAATACTAACCTATAAAATCAAAAAATCAAATATTGCAAGATTTGTTTTTAAAGACCAAAGAATAACCCATATGGCCTTCAGAGATGAATTGCAAATTTGAATGGATTATTTTGCAGAGTTGTTACAAATCTCAATGATTCTCTTTACTATCACAACATCCCTTTTTTTTACAGAAATTCAAAGTATATGAGATCACACTCACACAAATTAGCTTCTACTTTGCACATTAGTTTCAATGGTTTCATATAAATATATATATATATATATATATATATATATATATATTTGTGTGTATGTGTGTGTGTGTATATGAGAAATTAATTTTATTTATTTGTAAATTTAGAAACCACGACTCCATTCCGATTGGGCAGCACGGAATTCAACATGACATACGGCCAAAATGAAAGCGATACCCATGACCGTGTCATCGACGAATGACGACGCCGGTAATCATTCATCCAACCAACGAATAATACTTTCTGAAAGCAAAAGGTCTAGTCCCCTCCACGTGTGGCTTCGCACCGCCGTCTAGTAAGCACGTCGACCCTGACGGAGACAAACGGCTGTGAAACGGCGACCTACGGTTTGAATTTCTTCGTCAGCATCTCTTGCTCAAGAGCGACGAGAACTGGTGGACGACAACGGAACACTCCATGGCTCCGTCGTCTGAGGCAACTGCGCCGTCGTGTCCGGTCCTTCGGCCGTTCTCTTTCATGAAACTCGTGCGTCTCTGAACACACTGGTTTGGCCGCGCACAGATTCTGATTGCGGAAGAGCAAGGTCTCTAGTGCAATTGTTTCACCGTCGCCGAGGTACGTGACTATGCGCCAAGTTGGTGTGTCTGTTGTCTGGTTTTCTTGATATTTTTTAGCATTTTCTGGATTTGTTTTTGGATTTTTTGGATTTTTTTCCCAACATAATTTGGTGCTCCTGGAGCAGTTCTGGAGTTGTTTGGCGACATTTGTTGTACAGGTTGTGATCTGAACAGTATTGAGATTTGTAATAGATTGAAGCTTTTTCTGGTCGCACTCGTTTTCCTCTTGCGCCTCGCTTGGTTTTGAATCAGTTCGATAATGTGGAGCTAGGGTACATTGAAGTGGTTGCTGCTCTGAGGTGGTGGTATGGAGAATAGCTGCTGGTATAGATTGCTTTGGTGGTGTCGTGTTAGTGCTTCGTAATATTTTACAATCCAGTTGGTGAGCGCTCTGTTAGTGGGGATTGTTTCCGAAATGTAGGTAGAAGGAAAGCAGTTTCGTATTCTTAACCGACTTCCCTATTCAGTGTAGGGTTTTCAATGTTGTTGTCTTAACAATTTTTCTCCGAGGGAGCGTCCTCTTGAGAATCTCGATTATGAAGCTCTGTGAATTGAGTTTTTTTAATAGTATCAAGGATATACGCGAAGTGGTGGATTCGCAATAACTAAGAGGCGGGTTTCTTTGAGTGGTTTCAGGTCAAATTCTGTTTCCGTGTCCAAGGATAGTGACATTTATTGTAAGAATTAGGCTTCGTTTTATGTTTGAAGCAGAGGATATTCGGATCGTCGTCAGGATTCTGAGGGTTTCTACAAAAAGCTGGTGTGATGGAACAAGTGTTCTTTCATGAATCTTCACGAGTAGAATATTGAGCAGGATGTTTGGCCGAAAAATTGACCTGGACTATTCTCCTGAACCTGAGGTTTCTTAAATAGCTACTTATCAAAGAAATGTTGTGAACAGACGCCTGAGCTTGGTTGTAACCCCATATGTTGGCGGTTAAGCCTCTACAGGCCTACAAAGGAATATAAGCTGGAAGATGATACAGGAGTCGTGTCTTTAGGCTTTCAGAGAATGGAAAGTAGAAACCTTTGGAAGAGGGTGCATTCCAGGAGTACTGGTGAAGATGTGCTGAATGCTATGTGCTCTCATTCATATGCAAGGATCGCTCCTTCGTCGCCAAAACTGAAGTTAACGGTATCATATATTTTGTCTTGGCTGTTTTGTGGCACAACGAGCTAGTCACGAGTTGGTTTGTAATTATGCTTTCTATGTAGCATGCTAGTTGCGATTGCTACATTTATTTATTTTGTGGTTTTTTGCTCTCTGGTAGATAGTCAAATTGACAGCCTTTTTCTTTTTTTTCTTTTTTTTTTCTTTTTTTTCCCTTGCAGAGCACAGAGACCTGAAGTTAGAGAGCAAACATTACAGCATGAATATTGTTGCTTCCTTGCGTTTGTGGATCATACCAAGAGTTATCTATAGCATCATCCAGTGAGATATTGTTCTCATATGCTATCACTATGATAGTTGGTTTGGGGAGATTATGCTCTGAAACAAGTTTAGTCAGTCATGTTGAATGTACGCCGCGGAAAGAGGTGAAGGAGTAGTTGGTGTTATCAATTTCAGTGAGTATCAAATATTTTTTGTGATAGTGTGATCCTTACAAGGAAGTTCGGGTTCCTGTCCATGTGATTCTGGACTTTTGATATGTGGGGTCTTACATAAGGACAGAAAGCTTCGTGACAGCCTTGTTAGAAACTTACGGATTATGCAAAGCACAGTGACAGTATAGAGTTGTAATTTGCAAGTGAGCATCATCGAAGAACATGAGAAAAAAGGCAAGGACAGCGAAAGCCAAGAGCAAAGATGAATTTCAGGGTGCAAGAGCAAGCACTAGCAATGACCTCTGCAGATATTGCACCATGGACCCTAAGATATGGTCTTTGTTGCCCGAAGATCTTACGAATAGAGTTTTGGCCTGGCTGCCTATACCCTCACTCTTCCAAGCGCGTTCAGTCTGCCAGCGCTGGAGTTCCACTATCGTTTCTTCAGCTTTCTTGAGCATGCATTCTGAGATCCTCTGCCAGCACTCTCCATTCTTACTGTTCCCTTCTATTGGAGATTCCTTATTGTACGCCGCTTTCGACCCATCCGGGAGGAAATGGCAGCCTATGCCGCCAATGTCCTTTCTTCCTTCCGAGGTGAAGTTCGTTGAGGGAGTCGCCGGCGGACTGGTATTTTTCAGCGTGGAGGCGCATTTTCAGCCAGTGAAGCTCTTCGTTTGCAACCCTCTTACCAGGAGTTGGCGACAACTGCCAGAGATGTCCTACAGGCGCACTCCAATAATTCGTCACATGGTGGTGGATGAGGCAACAAAGACTTATAAGATTGTAGTCTCTGGAAATGCCGATGTCTATTCCACCCGGGATGGTTACAGCAGGTACTTGAACACTGAGGTGTACGATTCTGTAACTGGTCTGTGGACCGAGACTGGCAGCATGCCTTCACGATTTGATCCAGGGTGGAGTTCAGCTGATTGCAATGGTGTCCTGTACTGTATGGTGAATGAAGCTGAGGCGGTGAACCACAGTTTGGGAGTCATCACCTACAACATGAAGGATGGTCAGTGGAGTGATCATTTTCAACAGCTTCCTGAGGGTTTCTCACTTGCACAAGTGGTGGAGTGCGGAGGGCAAGTTCTGATGGTAGCTGAGCGCTACTTCAATGGCAGCGTGAAAAATATTCATCTTCTGCGGCTTGAGGTCGACACCAAGGAGTGGACAGAGATAGCAAAGCTTCCGCGGAAAATGCTTCTGGAATTTAGGAGGCTATGTGAGGAGGAAAGCTACAACTGTGCTGCCCATGAGACTAAGGTTTATTTGACGAGTTTCAAAGGTATGCATGTATTAGTGTATGACGTGCTCCAGCGGACTTGGGAATGGACGCCGAAGTGTCCGTTTTTCTCTGATCAGGCTGACACCAGGGCTGTGGGTTTCTCGTACTCACCGTCGTTTAGTGTCATGGTGTAATGGAAGGTATGACCTAGTGTTTGATCATGCATAGTGTAAATAGAATCCGTAAATAGTTGCAAAAGTTGATTACACTTCCAAAAGGTTGCAACAGAGAATTTCTGTTGTTGCTTGTTGAGCGGAAGGCCCGCAGAATGATGGCCCATTGACTTTCGGTAGTTATTTTTACCATTGTTTCATCTTCCGAACCTGTGTAATTACATTTTGAGATTGTACAGAAGCGAGCATCTTTGTCGCTGCAAGTTTTTCAAGGCGATTTTCAAATCTATTTTCTGACCTTCTGTTGTTCAGCATTCCAGTATTAGGTAAGTTACTGTTTACACCGATTCCGTTTGATCAGGTGCAATAGCACTGGAAATACACCATATCGTGAAGGAACAATGTAAACATGGTGACTTTACTTTTCGCAAAATGGTATGATGCGTGGATAAGCACAAACTGAAAACTGAGTGATCAATGCAGTTGTAACAAATGCACTGAGAAATTGATTTGGGTTGTGTTCAAGTTTGAGAGTTAGTACGAGTGAGCTTGAATTTATGAAATGTGTTCAGTTTACTGGGGTTGCTTACACATTTCGACAACCATGCCACTCCAGTGGAGAAGTTGATCTTCGTAGACAGAGCAGCTTATGAGCGGAGACCAGACACCCAAATGCGATGCGAAACCTCGTCGAATTCACACCATACCATGCCTAACTGGAAATGAGCTGCGAAGTTTATGTAGTGACTGCATTATACATCATATTTGTACATTGTATTCCTAACTGCGACCTTCTTTCGGTCATTTGGAAGCTCACATAGTCGATACCATAACCTTTTATCTCCTACAATACATGCACGCTTCTGCAAAGCTAACCTAGCAAACAAACTGGGCGAAGTTCCCTTACGGCCCAAGGTTAGCGTTAAAATTCGAAGCTGCCAAACAGGCTTACAACTTATCATTCAACTGCAGAGGATTGCTCACTTAGTGAGGAATCGTTCATGGCTCTGAATGGGGTTGCTGCTGCACTGCCAGCATTGCATTGTCCCCGGGAGATGCTGGTGGGAGTAGCATGTAAACGTCGTGAACCTCCGGCTTTGTGACTGCTCCAACATCCTTGTCCATTGCATAGCAGATGTACACCGTATTCACCACATGAGATAGGACATGAATTGTTAGCCCCAGGCCCAACAGCCATATGATGAAGCACGCGTTTGCTATCAGCAAGCTATAAGTTGGGCCTGCGGAGGTGAAGTAGTACATCGATCCCAAAACCTGCAAAAAGACACTCAAATCATTCATCAATGAACCCCTCCTCGCAACGCCCACTATAGCTTCAAGGACACTCACCTTCAAAATCATAAAATATTAGGAAGACATGCATCCACCACGATGACTAGAACCAAGGGCAAAATAACTGGATAAGACTCCGAGAGGTAGGGGTTTGAATGGAGCTCTCACCACTCCGAAGTTTATGAATGCGGTTGTAAGTACTATCCCAGAGAGTACAGTCTGTGCCATGATCTCAACCATGACCGTGGAAAGAAAATTTCTTCGCAATAAGTTTAATGTAGCTCGTGCAGAGGTGCAGAAGCTGTCTCCTGAAATTGCAGCAAAATTATTCGTGAAGAGGGTGAAGCTCTCCACTATCTGGAACAACCATGAAAAACAAGCCCGAATGAAGCACGCGAGAATACTTGATCCGAGCTTGCCGGCTTCGGTGTTGGTCAGGCTCCTCAACATTGCCATGATTGTGATAATCAAGCTTGAAAGACAGGCTGTTCCAAAAGATGGACCCAATGCATTCCTGGCACAACACGAACATGATCATCACCTACGAGTCAATTCAAGGAAGGACTCAATTATATTGCTGCTCTTTCAAGATCACAGGTTATTGTGGTCTTTTAATGCTATCCAGTAAGTCTCCTACAAAAGAAGAGTGAGGATTAATACCTCAATGAACGCTTCGTGCTACCTACGGTAGAAGAGCCAGCAGGTGCAAAGTACCACTGAGCTATGGTGCCAGTGACCACGAGAACTTTTACTTGGCTCGCCACCATCACCACCCAAGTCACAGCAATACCTGCAATCATATCACCAAACTGTGAAGGCCTAGATTTGGAACCAAATAAAATTTTGCCCAAAGAGCAGTAAAATTTGTCATTCATGCTGCTTGCGACCACCAATTTGAATCAGAAAACATGAAATGGTGGAAAATTGTGCTAATAATGTACCTACGAGCATGATATATGCAAAAACAAATCCCGCTGGTTGATACTCGCAGCATGGGGCTCCAGTGGCTTGGTCGCACATATTGGCAGGATCCCTAATCGCATCAAAATTTGGCGAAACTTTGCCAATGAAGATAGCGTACCATATAAAGACGGCCATCGGCCCACTGATCAAGACTACAACCAAGCTCAAGATCGGGCCCACCAGCAGTAGATACAGGTTGTGCTTGAGGGCTTCTGTGGCCGTCTGAATGATCTGAATCGCGAGATCGACGCGGCTCCTTCGTTTTAACATCCCAAAGAATTGAAGGAGCATAAGAAGGGCCAGAAAACCCAACACGACGGAAGTGATGATCCATGAAACTGGAGCTTGTGAGCACACGTCCTTGGAAAGTAAACAAACGGTAGAGGCCAAGACTGCTACAGAAATTGGAATGATACACAGGAGGCAGAGGATGGCCGTAACAAGTTGCCGAGTGTGGTAACGAAGGAGCCAAAACACGCCCAAACTCACGGGTAGAATTAGGGCCAAAGTTCCGATGACTGGGACGAGGATAGCTGCCGCATTGACCGGATCGGCATCCTTCTCGTACGCTCTCCGCCCGTGTGAGGGACTGACATGGATTGGGGTAGAGCCCACATAGGCATGCTGAATGGGCTTGCACTGACCAGAGTCGGGATCGTACCTTGCGAACTGCACCTTGGCCTCTATCGCGCTTTCCGACTCCGCGTTTTTTATTGCCAAGAACCCAAAAATGTAAGTCACGAGGACTGTAGCGACGAAGAGGTAAGAGAAGAATTTGTCACGGTATGGTCTCGGTTCATATTTGAAACCAAATCCCCCCGAGCCTGAAGCTTCTGGATTGACTGATATGCGGGATTCTTTAGGATTTGTTTCGAACTGTTGGAACGACGGTCCTACCAACAATGGCTTGTTGGCTTCCTGCTCTTCCATCACGTCCTCGGGGCTTGGATATTCTACCCCCATATTTGCCTCTCGCTTCCAAGTGATCACTCTAGCTATCCGTTGCCCCAATCCAAGAGTCGCTCTGTGCAGAATGTCTCAGAAGACAAATTATATCCTGAGAAAAGAAACGCACTTCAGTAAATGTGGTGCCATGCCACCGACAACTCACATACTCCGGAAACCCACTATAGTAGGTTTAGCAGGACCTTAAGAAACAGCGATGGGATTCAGAAATTGAGAATTAACGACAGAAACATGTGATACTGCTGCTTCGAATGCGTCAAGTAGCAAGAAGTGATTGAGTACAAGAAGATACAGGTATGAAAACGAGTGTTCCTATTTTTGCACAACCAAGAATCGTCTCGTACAAAAAAAGTAAGCCATTGTTCGATACTCGCTTCTTTTTTTTCTTTTTCTTTTTTCTTTTCCTTTCTTTTTGAAAAATTCTTCTTTCGATCCTCCGACAGATTACCATGATTTTTTTGTAGCTTTGTCCTTAAGAAAACTAACCATTCCAAGAAAACCTCAAGCAACCAACCACGCCTTATCAGTGCAATAAGCGCAACTATGTCAAGAAACTTGAAGAAGAGCTACCTGATTAACACACCCACTTACGATTGAAGACGCCAGCCCTCACAAATGGCCCACCTCACAACCTCAAAGGAGCTGCCACAAGCACTAAAACACACTACGCTTATCAGAGGCAAAAAACCTCAAATTATCACAAATCCCCTCTAGGTAATAGGCGGAACTACGGCAAACTAACACGAACAGAAGCGCCACATTTGTTGCTCGACTCCAAATCTCTACAATCTCAAGAATTATCGCCTTTCCACATCCTAACTCACACCTCGCCAAGCCCACCACCCCCGACTCATCTGCACAATCCCGCGTATCATGAGCAATCAAAACCAGCAGAGAAACTCCTCACACTCACCCAGCACAGCAGATTCCATGGTGCAAAAAGATATCGTAAGCCACTCAAGACACACCCCCATTTAGGATTTGTGCAAACGTCGTCGGAGCTTAATAATGCAACCCAGCGAACTGATTGAGGTTGTGGCACGGATGGCTCCGAGATGGAAAGTGACACCAATAAATGGGCACTGTTATGGACCCCACCACGGGATGCAAACGCAACGCCTGTGCACAATGAAGTATCATCAAATCCGAGCACAGATTGCGAGAGATTGGAGAGAAAAATCCGTCCCCACTTCCGGCTTCGAGAAGGTCTCCGAGTGTAGACCTCAAATTGTCTCAAATCAGGTCGTAGCTAATTTCGTGTCTGATACGGAAAGCGATCACAACCTCGAAGAGTCGGGTGTGCGAGCAATACCGCGTGGGGGGAGGAGTGTGGCGCACGAGGAGGATTTTTGAACTTCGATCGAATCTGCGGAGTGTTCGGCGGTGAAGAAGGAGCAGGCCGAATTGCGATAGCGGGCTTTGACTCTGTGATGGATAGATGAATAGATGGATGGATGAATGAGCTTCTCCTACGACTTTTGCCGACTGACAACCCCGTGGATGGATGGGCTTCGCCTACTACTTTGCCGACTAACTACCCCGTGATGGATGGATAGATTCGTGGATGAATGAGCATTTTCCATCTGTTTTTTCATCTGTCAGATGGATGGTGGTTCCGAGATGGTTCGTTTGTCCTTGGTCGATACAAATGGTTCACGAGTTTCACACTCTGGAAACTTTTTCTTCAATAAAGTACTTTTAAGTGAATCCTAATATACAAAAATAGCTTTAAAACGTTTATAATTGTAAGAATTTTAATGTTTTGATATTTTATGCACTCATTTCTTATTCATGCAGCTAAGCATGCTAAAGAAAGAAAGTCTCTTGTTTTATTAGTTTAATGTTTTATAAAAAAATATTTGTGATTTTTAATATTCTTACATTAAGAAAAGAAAAATTAATTTGTTGCATAGATTGCACTCATGATAGAGCAACATGCATAGGATATGTGTGCATAAAAAAGTAAACAAAAGAATAAATTGTTGCATATATTTTTTAATATTATAATTATTTGGCTTTGTTATTTGTTTATAATTTTATGAATGGCAATCAAATGGAAACTTGTCTATATTTCATCTTAAATGGAAGTTCAATATTAATAGATTGTATATTAATGTTCGTGATAAAGACTTAATGTCCCAGATTTTATAAAAACAAATACTACTATATACATATTAGGTTTACTTTTGATATTTTAAAATACTTATAATAAAAAATTTATACATACATTATATTCCTGAAAATAAAATAAAATAATTTGAATGCTTGATTTACTTTATGTAAGTGTAAATATTAAGTACCAAATATTTTTGTAAAATTAATATTTATCATTTTTTTCAGTTTATTAGATACAAAAAAAGTATATGAATCATATTAATTATTAAAATTATATTATAATGACATCTTTACAAAATACTTCAAACTTTTAAAAATGACAAATTTCTTCACTATTGGCTTTGAGCATATACACCAATATTTTCTTTAAGATATTACCAGTCATATTTTTAAAATAATGCAATAAAAATCTCTCTCTCTATATATATATATATATATATATATATATATATATATATATATCTACATACATACATATCTAAAAAAAATAATATTATTTTTAATTATAAATTCATTAACTTATTTTAATATAATAATAATAATAATAAGAATAATAATCATGCATATTACATTAGCTACAATCTTTCAAATTATATTATGCTATTTTTTTTTATTATATCTAATTTAAAATATATAAAATAAAATAGAGGCATCTTATAATATTATTAAAATAATACAGTAAATGAATAAAATATTACAAATATTATCTTTTTTTTAGACTAAGTAAAAGTGCTAAATTATTTTTAATAATATTTTGTTATTTTTTGCTAAATTTTTTGTACTATCTATCATAAGATATTTTATAAATAATAATTATTAAATATAGTTTATTATTATTATTATTATTTATTTTGCAAAAATATTTTTATAATACTTGTTTAAGAGATGAATCAAGATAGAATCCAAAAAATAACATATTCATGTATCACTAAAGAAAGAAAAAAATAAAGAAAGAAGAAATTATCATTGGATAGAAAAGAACTATAATGGTTATTACTAAATATAAAGAAACTAGAAAGTCGTGAATTAAGACTAGAATATAAAAAAATAAAATAAAAAATCTTAATAAGATCAAAGATGGCCTTTGTCTTGCCTCCATATATACTAGCTATAAAGAAGATCTTGAAGAAGTTTTTTAAGCACTACAAGATTAGTGACCCAAGATCCTAGTTGATGGTTGCTTCCAAAATAACTTCCTAAAAGTAAGAAACAAATGGAACAAGTTTTAGTAACTTCATAGAATATCTATAGAAGTCTAAATATCTAATCCATGCATAAGAAACATCCTCAAAGATTCTTAAAGAAGGTATTATCTTTTCAATATGTATCTATTTAATTCTATTTACTTATATTTATTTATATTTATTTCTATTTATTTAAGTAATAGAAATATTATTATATTCTCTCTTCTTCTTTGCAATAAGTTCTACATGGAGCTATCAAATTGCTTTGTAAGTTGGTGAAAGTCTAAGATCAATTAAATAGTATTAGAAGTAAACTTTGATTTATGTTTTGTATAAAGGTGATTTAATGGTCCCTATAATAATCAATAATATCTTATATTAGAATGAAAAGACTACCTAATTATTTGATCATTGGTGAGATCTTCATAAGTTCTTTCAAATAATACATTAAGTATTTTATTAGATATAGTATCCACATCTAATAATATTTTTAGGCATTAATAATCTCTTCTAAGATTGTCATATCAAACATGCTATAATTTACCATCTACTTAAAAAAAGACATGTCTCTCTTGAGGACTTTTATTACAATTATGATGTTTCCAATATTGAGATAATCTATGTCATTTATAAAATTATAAATAACATATTATAAAATAAGTATATTGGTTATTTTTTCTTTATATTTGCAAGGAACTTCTTATCAAGGACAAAAATCACAAATGATAAAAACCTCAAGATACTCTTATTTCATTCAAAAAGATTAAAAAATCACTCAAACGTAGTATAATATTGAAACTAGAATGGTTGTTGCCAAAGAAAAAAAAAAAAAAACTAGAGACTTTTAGTAAAAGACTAAGAACAAGAAATGCATTGATAAGAATAAAGAAGACTTCACTCTTGATTCTATATATACTATTTGACTAGGAGTGATGTGGTAACATTTTGTAGGACCTTTGTCAAATGTCTAACTTATGAAGTAAGTTTCTTATATATATGCCACATGGCCAACTTATACCATAAATTGCCAACATGTGCAACATGTGGCCAATTTATTGGCCAAATTTCCAACTTGCCAATCACTTACAAACATGTATAAAGACAAATTTAAATCTATAAAGCTTCTAAGAAGCTTTTCTACGAGATATTATCAAATCTATCTTCATTTACAATCTACCTAATACCATTTATCTATATAATTATGTATATTTATAACACTTGTACAAATTAATCTTCAAAATTATTTTTTCTTGATTTATACCATTGTATTGTGCATAGTTTGTCCTTAGTTTTAATGCATGTTATTGATAAAAAAAACAGCAATAAGTTGTAAGGTATTTCTAAGATTTTCAAGTGACTTTTATGTGAATTTATTAATATTATATATGTGTCAATATATATAATATTTTTATTTTAATAAAATATAGTCATAATTACTTTCTTGTCAATGTGTATTGATTGTAGTATAAAACTTAATAAGAGGCACATAAAATACTTGATGAATCTTCATTGATTGTAGTAATTTCAATCAATATGCATCTAAATTAATCTATTTTTTAATAATAAATGGGCCAAGCCTCCAATAATCAAATTTCTAATAATATTTTTTAGTCTTAATATTAAAATGGAGTAATCATATCTTAACACCAATTTAAATATAAATAATTCAATTTTAAAAAATAGTAATATTTATTTGCCATTTTTAAGTATTTTTTAATTATATTTGCATTGTTGAATAAAATTCTACCATTTTACTTGCTAAATCTTCTATTTTTGGATTCTTTACTTTTTTTAAAAAAATAATAAATAATAATAAATAAAAATAAATAAAAATAAACTTTCAATATGTTAAAAATTATCTTGCTAAATCTTCATACAAATTGAGATCTTTTATTAAATAAAGTATCAATTGAAAGTCCTTGATATTAATAAATATTGTCAAAGAAAATTTTTGTTATTTCTTTACTTGTGATATTTTTTGTACAAGATATAAAAAAATCTATTTTAGTTAAAAGATCCACCATTACATAAATACAATTGTAAAAATTTGAGATTAAAAGATTTGTAATATGATCCATTAAAATAGATGATCAAGGTTGTTTCAAAATAGATAGAGGTTGAAGAAGTCTATAGAAGCATTAATATAGGTTCTTTGCTCTAGAATTTGTATCACATAATTAAAAAGATAATTTGACTTCTCTCTACATTTAAGGCCACCAAATATTTCTTGAAATAAGTTCTAAAATTTTATCATATTGAAAGTATTATGTTGTTAAAAATTCATGTTGTACTTGTGGTGCTTATAATTAAGCTTGAGCTTTCGTCCCATATAAACTTCTTTTATAATTAAAAATGTTGTTTTTAAACTCAATTTTTTAGAGTTAATATAAAAAACATATATATAAAAAATACGAGATCTTGTTAATGTACTTAAATAAATTTTATCAAATAAATTAATATTAATTAGAATTTTTGACTTAATGGCTCAAAGTTGTAATTGCTTCTATTTATTTTTAACTAAATAAATATTATATTTTTGATTATATGAAGCATCTCTTTTTTTTGGAGTAAGATTAAAAAAATTAGACAAAGTATTTAATAAGCCTTATTGTTTTTAAAGACAATATGTAATATTAAAAAGAAATCATGGCAAAAATATGTTTCAATTGGCTTGGCAATAGTTTAAGATATATATTGATATAAAGTACTAAAGATTCTTATAATCAATATAAATGAGATCGATTAAAAAGAGTCTTTTAGGTAGTAAAAACATTCTATTAATAAAAATTTCTTTGTTGTGTATCTTAAAATTGATCTTGGTCACTCAAAGTTTTTTTGAATCAAAAGAAATATAATGAAATATATCATATGTCTATTTTTGATAAAAATGCATATCATAAAAATTTTAATTTAAATTATTTATATAATTTTTAAAAATAATTTAGGAAACATAAAATAAAAACTAAAGTAAAATTTATTTTAAAACCTTTAAATATTTCTTTTATATCTTTATTCTATTTTTTTTTGAAAGTTAATTGTAGAAATAGAGTGGTAACTTGAGAGAATTTTTTGTTAAAATACAATAATAGTTTGAAAAGCCTAAAAAATATTATATATATGTCATATTATTTATAAAATTCTATAATTCATTTTTGTTTTTATATTGTTACAATTTATTTGCAAAACATAATTTAAAATAAAATATTACAAAACTTCCACTTATATTATATAAATTATATAATTTTCTATCTTGACATATAATCCTCTATTTTTAACTTTTTGTTATTCAAAACAAATATATTCTTTTTCTTCCATATTCTTTTAATAGATTAAAATTCCATCCAAATCACATTTACAAAATTATCTAAATTATCTAGATTATCCAAAAATTCGTAAAATTTATTATTCATTAAAATAATAAAAAACTATTAGAATATATAAAAGTCCAAAAGGCATGACGTTGTCTTCAAAATGGTCATACTTAGTCTAAAATACAATCTTCTATTTATATATTTTTAATAAAAAATCAAATTATAGGTTTATTATAGAACTATCTTAGTGTAGATCATAATTTTATTCAATTGATTAAAGAGCTATAATATTAAAATTAAAGGATAGAAATTTTTAATTTTTAATTTATTAAATCCAAAAAAATCTATATTTATATATATGTATATATGTTTGCAAAGATTTATCTTGTTTATTTGACAAAGAAGATTGAAGCACTTGTAAGGAATTTTGGATGTTAAATAAAATTCTTTGTAAGATTTCTAATAAAATATCTTTTTAAAGTAACAAGTTGTAAATTAATCTTATTAGTAATTAAGCTTTTTCTTCAAAATCAATTGCACAATCATAAGAGATTGGAATTTTGGCAATAAGCCACCATTCTTCTTCTAAAAAACATCTTGATACTTTATATACTATTTTAGAATTCAACCACAGTTTTATTGGAATAAAAAATTGATATTGTATATATGAAAAATAGATTTTTATTTTTATTTTAATAGCTCCTATAAATGCTTAAGCTCTAATAACTAACTGCCAAGATGATTTATTGGCATTTGGACTAGATCTTAAAGTAACTTTTAAAATTTCAAATCTGTATTAGAATTTTGTAATTCAAACTAAAAAAAACCAAATACCATTAGATTTGAATGACATTCAATAATATTAAAGATAATACCAAATATTTAAAATTTTATATTTTTTAAAATTATTTTATTTCTTTATAATATAACTAAATTTAATTTCAAAATCTATTAATAACTTTATCTATAAATATTCAATATTTCTTTGAAAATATGAATTTTTGTTGCAATTCAAAGACTTTTTTTTTTAAAATAATAATAATAATTTATTGTGAAAATATTTGAATTTTTTCATCTTTGTTCATCAAACTTCTTTAGTAAATTAATTTTTGGTTCCTTTATACTTATAATAAGAACTTTAGAATCTATTTGTGTCATTATTCAACTTGTACTTGCTTCTTTCAACTATATAACTTCTTAGTTTAAACATTAGACCTTATTGTTAACTTCTTCTAAATGCTTAAGAATAATTTATTCCTAATTGAGATTGCTAATTCATGAGATTTATGCCTAAAGAATATCAAAAAACTTATAAAGATTCATAATAGTTGTAAATCTTTGCTTACTTCTACCAAGTATATTAATCATATTTTATTTTCTTTCCATCTTAATAATAAACAACACTAAGAAACACATAGGTGATTTACAACCTCTAATATCAAATAAAATTTTCTACAAAGATAGGTAGTCTATTCTCTTTAAGAAAAAAATTAATGTAAGATAATAAAGATGATAGGTTAAAAGTGGATAATCGAGTGTCATTAAAAATGTAACAATATTTCTTAAAAAATTGAATAATCTAATCACTTCTTAAACAAAACAACTATCATAAGTTAGTAGTTTTATTAAATTGTCAACAACATAAACTGCAATGCAATTCAAAAGATAATATATTTATGTGTTATTAAAAAAAGTAAGAAAGTAAAGAAAACATATATTATTACAAAATAGAAAAGAACTAAAATGACTATTGCCAAATGCAAACAAACTAGAGAGTCTTGAATTAAGACTAGAATACAAGAAAGGTATTATTAAGGCTAAAGATTGCTTAAATCTAGCCTCCATATATACTAGCTACAAAGGTCTAGTAGAATATTTATGGAGATTGCAAGGTTGATAGTCCAAGCTTTTAGAAATATGTTACTTCTAAAGCAACTTCTTAACGATAAGAAACTTATGAAATAATTTTTTGTTTGGATTTTTTATATCAATATTTTATTGTAAAATTAGATAGAATATTCTACTAATAATTAAACGTGATTTTTTTAAGTAAATATATATATATATATATATATATATTACACATGTATTTAAATTTTATATTTTATCTTTTTTCCTATATTTAACAAATCAGATTATATTTATAAACGAAAAAGTTCTTGACAATATTATTCCAGTCTGATCAAATCTTATTTTATATTATTACTTCTCTACCATTTACCACCCTTAACAATCGTGTTCTATTTTTTTAGATGCAAGTTTAGGGGTAAATTAATTAAATATTAGTATTCTTATATTTTACTTTTATGATCATGTATTACGAATGGAATCTAATAGTACCAAAAATCACATACAATACAAGATCAAAAGTCATTTACAAATCTATACATATCATATAAATTATTAGCATTTAGTTTTTTAAAAAATGTTACACTTTTCTATCTAATTAGCTTTATTTCAAGAAAAATACAATTTTATTAAGATATCGTTTAGAATAGTTTCAACCATGATTTAATAAAAAAATGATTTGCATATCAATAGTATATAATTCATTGAAAGTGTATAAAACTGCAGAAAAATTGTTCAACATACCTGAACAGTATGTATTGATGTTTAACATCAATTTTGTTTTTGATCTAAAATCCATAGAAGTATTTGTTTGATGTGCACAATATTTTCTATCATGGTTAAGATATACAGTTGAATGCTTAGATATCAATTCATGAATTGTAATCAATTATATATTAATAATGATAATATTGAATGAACCCAATTAGGATGGATATAATGCTTGTAACCAAATTGTCAAACCATACTAAAAGTCGTACACAGACATTTCTTTTAAAACCAAGAACTACATTCAATATTTGAAGTTTGGGTAGGTCTAAAGTGAATACAATCTGAGCACGTACTTTAGATCATAGTTTTATTTGAGCTAGTTAACTGTAATCTCACTGATATTCGCAATAGCAAGAAGGTTTCTTAATTTCAAACCACGTGACACACATCGGCATGAATTTGTGAAAACAGATGTATTTCCGTGGGCTTCAAGAATAAAATAAAGTTTTGAAAAAGAATAGCAACATACTGAACAGTCTTAACCCTTTTGGTATCACACAAGTTCACCCAAAATATTATGACAATGGAAGAATTCTGATAAGTGGTGATAACCTCAATGCTGAAGATGTACACATTCATAACTCTGGGGAATAAGCTATGCTTGCTTTGAACATGAAGATCATTCATGAAGCAAAATTGGAATTCCAGTCAATATCCTAAAAAAACAGATGCACACAGAATAAGCTATTCTCTACCAAAAAGGCTGAAGTTTGTGCTACCATACCAAGAATTTCACAAGCTTCTAAGAAGAAAAAGGTGATAATCAGGCGATGACAATATTCTTTGCGATATGCTTTTTTACGCACACTTGTCTAATGAATGAGGGTCTGGACCAGTGTGCTGCTAGAAAAGGTAGTAAGCCGTTACCACAGCGTTGTGAGCTTTGAAATAATCAACAGCTGCCTAGTATGCAAAACCACCCAAAAAACACAGACACAATTATCAGACTCACTCATAACGTGAACGTCTATGTTAGTTAACGCAGGTATTCAGCTTGAAAGCCTGTTTGTCACCATGACCACTCACATAATTTAAGTGAGTAGTGATCGAAGTGGAAATTGAGGAAATCAGAATTTTATAACAAAGAAAAAGTGGAGCGAATGTATTGAAAGAGATGTTGTGAACCTTGTTATGCGTGTTACTGCAACTGCTCCCCAGATGCCCTGCATGGAGACGAGTCCTGCTGTTTCAACCCACTTTTGAATCAAACAGTGACCACACACGATTTCGGGCTTGTTAGTCCACGGTTTAGCCATTCGTCAAATCTCCTAGCCACACTTGTCGCAACTTGTAGAGTGTAACCACAATTCACGTGAACTGAAACTATTATAGTAATTGAAGGTTATCTAAACATCGAGTAGTTTCACTTGGAAACCCTAAAAAAGGAATCCCAGAGTGTATGACAATATTTTCCATTACGCACAACTCACTGTTGGGAGGTTCCATCCACACAACAATATTAGGCGACAATCTCCGTCTTCGTCAGCACAACTGATGGCGCGCTGTTGCTCGATGTCCTGGAAAATATTGATAGTGTCTTAAGAATATAAAAAGATGTTGAAATCATGTACCTCACAAGTGAATATTTTTGGGTTTTTGCTCAGCCTCAATTTTACCAAGTTTACATGAATTTAGGCACTAACTGATGACAGAAGCAGATGAGACCAAGATTCAGTCTCGAAAAATCGAAGGGAGTCACACAAGACGCGTTCACGATTCAAAACATACCAGTACACAGTGCGAATTCCGTGAAAGAAAAACCGGTTACTAAGAGGAGGTATACATCTACAAAAAAGTTGTTTAGCCATGCAAGTAAATCTGGATAGGATCGAATCTATTCGGACATGAATACCGTGAACAAAAATTGCCGTCAACTCCACCTGAAATGGGTACGATTGCGTGTTCATTGCACTCAACAGAGTTGATGTGTTGACAATGGGGATGACTTTTCATCGTTATACACCGATCCAACAAAAGAGAATTCTAATTCGCCAGTTGTAGTGTCGACAGATTCCGAGAGAAGTAACCATACGGTCAAACTATGTACACACCACATCACACAAAAGTATGCTTGTGTAAGAGCTGTCGATCTTCCCACTACGGGCTTTGCTTTGAACTGCCAAAATCAGTGATGACATACCAAGCTTCATGCAGTATGTACGCGAATGCGCTTAACACTTACTCACGGATCCAACTTCATCATTCGCTGAGCAGTGATGGTGCTTCTACTGACACGAAAGTTCTTGATAGTAAAAACTTCCAAACAATCCGACTCCAAACTTCACGGTTAGGTTGGACTCACAAAAGCTCACACAGTACTGCAAGAATTACGACGCACTGTGTCCCACATGACAAATCTGTATGTAGCCAAACAGTTGCAGCAGTTGGTGGGCGGGTACACTTACGTGTAAATTATTACGAATCGCTCATTAAATAGCCCAACAGTCTTGCGCAATTCGAATGTGGGGCCGGTTACGGGGCAAGTGAGAAAGAGCCAGTGGTCATTTTTTTTCATCGCGGATATTTAACAGTTAAGACCATCACTTTTTTTTAAGAGTTTTCTTCGATTATACACTCTGATGAATGGATAGTGAACGTGTTATTCAGTCCATATCTATAATCAATCCAAATCCCCGACAAATACTTCTTGCCAGTCCCTCAAGAGAGCTGTGTCAGTCACTGTGAATTGCCCTCATAGCCATTTTTGGTATTTTTTGTTGTCTCCTACACGCACCAAGAGGCTTCAGAGAAATTTCTTCTTCATTGGGCAATGGATTAGTGAAGCGGGAAAGCGACAAAGCTTCATGACTTAACAAGTTGAAAGACTAGCGATTAATTAAAACAGTATGCCCTCATAGCCATTTTTGGTATTATTGGTTTTTGTCTCCTTCAAATACCCAGAGGGCATCAGACAATGATCTTCTTCATTGGGCAATCAGGTAACAGTTGTGCTACGACATACTGTGAAACGACGACTCATCCTCTATGGGTAAAACAGATATATATCATCTGGATACTTCATCAAGGTAATGCCGATATGGGGAGCGAGTTATCAATTCGCTCAGCCACTCTATAAACGAGTCCGGACACCTCCGGAAACTCGTTTCAGGCCCGAAGCCATTCAGGAATAAACAATGGAAAACTGAAATCGAAACACAGTAACCCTCAAAGCCATTTTTGGTATTTTGGAAGATTGTCTCTCTCATTCACCCCGAGAGGCATCTCAGAGATAGGTTTTGCATCATTGGGCGGTCCTTATAAAGCAGCAAGAAATCAACCCAACGAATACAGTAAAGAAGTAACTGGTTTAGGTAACCCTACTTCCTCGTAACACGCAGAACAAACTCTAAATCAAAGAAACAAACACCAAAAAAATATGGAGAAGATGACAGTCTCCACAACAATATACGATTGAGAACTGAGTCGTACTGTCGAGCATAAAAATCAAAGCCTAAACGAATTCAGGTGCAAGATGAGAGGAGCTAGACAAGCCACATAGTTATACTTCCCGAATTTTCATAATAGACGAGGTCTTTAGGTCATGCTACCCGCCGCTGCACTGCCTAAACCCTAAAATGAGTTCAATCGTTCATCCATGTGCTGCAACGAATGTAGGTGGTAAATAGATATTGTGTGTGCAGTTTGTTTCAAAAATACAATGTGGAGCTCTTTTGGAATACAATATTCACTTTGATCAGGATTTCGAATACCGAAATTTATTTAATAAAATTCTGATTCTGTATAAAGCTAATGGGATTGGTGTAAAAGTATTATTTATTATTATTATTTCAATATTTTAAAGTGTATGCGAGATTTCGTTTGTTATCAGCTGAATGCTAATATAAACTTATAGAAGCATAAAATCATTAATATATTAGCACTCACTTATATTACAACAATAAGAATAATAGTTGTTCACAACAAAAAAAATATTGCACTTAATTTTAAATTTTGAATTTAATTTTTTTGCACTGTTTAGTTGTTTTAAATATGATGATTAGGTTTGATTTTGTTAGTTAAAACATTAGTCTGTATTTGGATTATCTAGAAAACCATCAAACGTGTTTTTTTTAGGAAATTGGTTAATTAACAAAGGGTGGATTTTGATTTTATACAAATAATATTCAACCATCATAAAGTTACTATATTCTTTACAATTGAACTGTTAAATTTTATTCAAAGTTTGATTGTTATGTCATGCGAGTGTTAAATGTGTATAATTCTTTGGAAAAAATATAAATTTTGATATATTCTCTAATTTTGGTTGAAAAACGTTAATAGACATCAAATACCGATATTAAATGATTCGAACAATTATTTTGATAAATGTAAATATAAATATCCATCACATTTGTATTCTTTCATCCATCCATATCTATTTGTACATCCATTTAGCCATCTATACATTGATCTCTTTGGAAAGTTCTTTAAATTAACAATTATTTAACAATAGGAACTATTTTAATCTAATCGTTCTGAAGTTTTGAAGGAAAAAAAAAAAATTGTAAATACAATAAAAAAATATGGACTTGTAATTCAACTTTTTAATACTGCAATGAACTAGGTCTAGCTAGGTCTTACAACAAAGTTTTTAAAATGCAAAAAATAGATAGTCTATCATGAATTGCAAACTTCTACAAATGTTTAAGGCTTAATGACATATAAAGAGCAGTGGACAATTCAATATTTTTTAAGAGAATCCAACATCACATGGTTAATTTGAATAACAAGTAAACATAGTGGCATACAATTTAGTGTTTAATACATAATTTTTTTTGTTCAAAAAAATAAAAAATAAAAAATAAAATGCTCTTTGTGAAGTTTCTTTTGTAACATATAAGTACAAAAATGTATTAAAAATATTTACAATTAAATTCTATGTATTAGACAATTGAACAAGAAAAAAATATATGTACAAACTACAATATTTTTTGCACAAAAATTTATCAACATTTTATTTTTATGCATAAATTCGAGATTATAAAGAATTAAAAATAAAATGTTGATACTTATTAAGATTTAATTTTAAAGTATTGCTTAATAGTTTTAGTTGTTGTGTAATTTTCACAAATAAAGTGTCAATCTTTTGTGTTTGATGTCATGTTATTTACAATCAAATAAACTAGATGTGATACATTTGAAAAAATATTTTCATATACATTTACATACTTATAAAAATAAAAACATTAAGGGAGGCAGGATGACAACAAACAAAAATGTCTTTTACATGTCAAAGACAAAAGGAAAAAAAGTAGGTGACAACTTGCTTATATACACAAGACATCCCAAGGATCAATCATCACGTGATTATGAGAAGAGGAGGCGGCGGCGGAGGAGGACCAGCAAGAAGAAAAACCAAATATTAAATAATAAAAAAAAGTGACAATATAACAAGAACACATGGATCTAGTAAAATAAATGGGAAGATTATAAACAAACAAATAGTTAATTAAATTAGTGAGGGTGGGTTTATATGCAAATAAAAGGGGAAACTATACACACACACACATTCCGAAGTGAAATGGCAAAATGACGCTCTCTCTCTCACGTGGTTTCGATGTCGTGCCTGAAGGGAGAAGCCCACGTGTCGACGCCTCATTGATGGGAAAATATGTAACCAACGCGGCAAAGGGCCCCCTCCCCCCCTCCCGCACGGCAATGGAGGGAGGGAGGGCGGGAGGAGGTGTGCCCGTAACCGTGGCCGCGTGCAGGGGATGAGTGAGAGAAGTGAGGGAGTGTCGTCCGTCGAGTGTGAGTGTCTTCTTCTTCGTCTGCTTCTTCTTATTCGTCCTTCCCTTCCATTCCTTCCCTTCCTTTCCTTCCCGTTCTTCCTCCGCTTCCTTCCCCGCCGTCGCTGCACCACAAACAACACCATTCTGGTTGCGAGTTAGGTCTCTGCCGGGCTCCTTCCTCGTCCCTTCTTACTCTCCCCATGGCTCCCCCCCCCCCTGTGCCAGTGTGTGTGCGCGCGTGTCTGGGCCCCCGTGGATCTCACTTGCGCACGTTAATTTTGGGTCAATCTGGTTAATTTGTTCCGTCTCTGTCGCGGATGTTTCTTAATTCTCGTCCGTGTATTTCCTTTGGGGTTGGTTGGTTGGTTGGTTGGTTGCTTGGAGCTCTTGGGAATTGTGGCGGGAAGATTCAGTCAGATCTTGTTGGTTTTGTAGATGGTGTCGTGCGTGTGCGTGCCTGGGTTATGACGCTGTTTTCCCCGTTGTTGTTTTTGGCTGTCTGTTTGGGTTGCAGCATGCGGTGCGGTAGTTCGGAGAGCTGTTGTTAACGGTTTTATGTTCCGTGACAGTTGGTGGGCGTTGACATCGTGCTTGAAAGCTGTGCACTGACGCAAATCTACTAACCTACTGGTGAATGTAATGTGGCTGGATTATTGTTCCGTGGTGGGGCGCTGGTGTTGCTGCCCCATTGAATACTTTAGTCTTGATCCTTGACATGTATTGTCTGCTGATTCTTGTAGCGTCATTTTGACTAAACTTGGTAGTCCTCCTGTCTCTGCAGAGATCCAGTAGCTCAAGATGGTGGAACAGCTTAGCGAGGACCAGATTGCCGAGTTCAAGGAAGCTTTCAGTCTGTTCGATAAGGATGGCGACGGTGAGTGTCAATACTGTCTTGTTTATGAACTGGGAGGCTCATCATTTTGCAGTGAAAAGAGCCATTCTGTGACAGTGTTTCCTCTAAAGAGGAAATGTGATCACCCTACACATTGTTGATTCTTTTATGCTAATAGGGTGAGTTGCATCCCTCAGGTTCCATCACCACCAAGGAGCTCGGCACTGTCATGAGGTCTTTGGGACAGAATCCTACAGAAGCCGAGCTTCAGGATATGATTAGTGAAGTCGATGCCGACGGGAACGGTACAATTGATTTTGCTGAGTTCCTCAACCTTATGGCTCGTAAGATGAAAGACTCGGACTCTGAGGAAGAGTTGAAAGAGGCCTTCCGTGTGTTCGACAAGGACCAGAATGGTTTTATTTCAGCAGCTGAGCTCAGGCATGTGATGACAAACCTAGGGGAGAAGCTTACGGACGATGAAGTTGACGAGATGATCCGTGAGGCTGATGTGGATGGAGATGGTCAGATCAACTATGAGGAGTTCGTGAAGATGATGATGGCCAAGTAAATTGATGGCTCCAGCATCCCCCTACTTGTGCCTCGGGTAGAATAGTAATTGCTTGTGCTTTTCCTGCTAGACCGTTGGTAAGCTTGTAATTGGACGAAGCTTTCCACAGCCAGCTTCCGTTCAAGGATCCTGCTCCTTGCTTGGGATGGATCACAGTGAAGAAAAGGAGCATCCTGACATCCTCTTTGATGGCAGGATTCCTACATATTGTTGACAAAGCTCTGATCCTGCCACGCTTATCGCACTGGGAATGTGTGGTAGATGAGTACTGAAGACTGGATTTGGGTGTGTGGGTTTGTTTTGAGGAGGTTTGCCTCGTCGGATACAAGCTTCAAACCGTCAGCTGCAGTGCAAAGCCCTTGTCATCACTTTTTCATATGTGGGTTTTTGGCAGCCATGCCTTCGTCTACCTTTAGTTTGACTCTGTGATCATACAAACTACTTTATAAACTGGGAGCTACGTTTTTCTGTTCTTACACATGCACGTGGATGGTTCCAATCAGTCAACAGGGTGAGGATAATGTTTATTAACGCACACCTTTTCAACTAACTGAATCTAGTTAATTAGTACTCATTTTCTTGTCTTGCATCACGCTTCATGGTCGTTTTGTCCAAGAAATGACGTGCTAATCACATAATTTATTCCAGGTAGGTTAGTGGACGCTACAAGAAGATCAGGAGCCTCTCCTGTTTCGACACATCAAATTATTGTGAGAAAACTCAAAGATATTATGCTGATAACACCTCTTGAAAACTGTAAGGAGATAATATTACTATACCTGTCAGAAACGTAGAACAGAAAATGCTCTCCAGTTGCATCACAATGCACATTGATCACTTGATTTTATATTGTGCTCTTGTCCCAAAAACGCTGTTGAATACGTAACAAAAATTTATATCTAAGAATTTATGTCTGTTCTTATGAAGTAGTAGAAAGAATAAAACTTCAATGTTTACTTTTATGCTGTATTTTGAAAGATCAATAACAACATATTTGTAAAAAGGAGTTTTTTTGAACGTAAAGGATGTTTACAACATTGAATGAATTTGTTTTTCAATGACATTTGTAATAGATTATATGATGTCAAAAATGAAGATAATAATTCGTAATATTTTAAGTCTTCCTTTAAAAAATACTTTTGTAGTTGTATCAAGTGCTTCATTGTTCATTTAAAAGCGAAGAGTCTAGTATAAAAATCCACATTAAAAAATAGGTGGGATCTTTACATGAAAAGGTAATAGTGGTGGTAGCTTTTTTTCACATACAAAAAAATTCATCTTTTAAAATGTTTCAGTAAATATGTGTGATAGGATATATCGGCTCTTTAATGCATAAATTAGGTATATATGATAAAAGATACGAAGAACAAAAATATGAACTGTATTAGACATTTGTGATAGCATGTAAAAATAATACCTTACATCAATTCATATTAATCGTAAAACTGTAAGTCCTTTGAATATGTTTTATTCCATAATATTTTCAACAATAACTATTATTCGTCTGTAATGCTTCTAAATTATTTATTTATTTATTTATTTATTTTTTGAAATTTAAAAATCAACCAAAACTATTCTGCAGGATCGTAAAAGATCAATCGGGATGTTTTTATTTTGTAACATTCTATTATTACAAGCATAAAACTTTGTTCCATATTAAAATGATAGTTTAATGTACATACTTAATTTACCGAATGATAAAAATAAAAATAAAATTAGCAAGATAAGTGTGTGTCCTTCATTTATTTTATTATAAAATAATAAAATACACATATTCATATATGGTACCAACATTCCCCTGCGTTCCCAATCTGGTAAGTTACACTAGCACGGTCGTTCTATAAGTTCCCATGTGTTCTCTATTGGGAACTTAGTCTCGCACCTCTGACAAGGGAGAGCGAGGCCTCAACTTCCACAGCTCGCCGGAACCCGAGCTCCACAGTCTCATTTGCTCTTCCTGTTTCTCGCTGTCGGTGGCCTGATCGGCGTCTCTTAGTGAACAGGCAGAGGCTTAAACTTGAACCAGCGTAGAAGAATTTTTAATAAGATATGGTTAGGAATCAGTGGCGCATTGTTCAGATTTCACAGAGAGGTGTGGGAGGAGGTACTGAGACAGGGCATTTGAGACGGAAAGTGATGGGATAGATATTGGCTGTCTAGGCCTAGGAATCATGGGAATCGTTGTGTCGCGAAACCTCTTGATGGATGCATTTAAGCTCACCGTGCGGGATCGAAGCTCCTGCTAGGTTCTTGCGTCTTTCGCATCGCCTCTGCTTATTAAACTTACAGTTGGAATCCTCACTGCGTGCATTCATTGGGAAGAGAAAGTTGCACGAACGGTCGGCTTCGTATTTGCGTTGCGAGTGGTCGTCATCAATGAATGTTTAGCACAGCTTCTAGGATGATCTGTCCAAAATTTTGATGTATCGTGTTCTTTTTTCCCAAGTCTTCCGCAAGACTACGAATTATTTATTAGCTAAGATTTCATGAGAAATAAGCAAAAAAAGAAAACAGTTAGAATGCAGGAGGAGATGTAATGCTGTAAACTTGACGGTTGTGTTGTCACAATAATGGATCCATGAATATTGGCACCCCCTTCGACGCCATCACTTTGCTTCCAGCGACCAGTTCACCAATCTGAAAATGAAGTAAGTGATGACATGTGCACCGACACCAATTTACTTTCGGTTTCTTTTTAATCCTGCGTGAAGACCTTGCAAGAGGAGCTTCCAATGGTGGCTCTCCAGCAGACGCAGTTAGAAAGTGTTCCATCATCGCAGCCGACTACTCTGCAGCGCTTTCAGTAAACTTGCCTTTCTGCTGCAGTAATCTTGTTCATCATATATTTTCTGGGAAGTACAGTCTCATTGTTAATCTGTTCTTTTAGAATTTGGTTTATTGAAGGTAAGCGTCTATTCACGTTCAGATTTATTTATTTATTTATTTATTTATTTTATTATTAAAATTTAAATAATCATAATATAAATAAATAATATTGTAATTAAATGTTGCAATCATAAATATAATATTTATTTATGATTGTATAACAATTTTAACTTGTAACAATCAGTTCACTATTTAACTTTAAAAAAAAGAGAAGAAAAGCTACAACTACCTATGAATGTATTTTTTCTTTTTAGAACACTTATGAGTTGATGTTTAAAAACCATACTTCACAAAAATTACATTTGTAGTTGAAAAACAAATACATCTTTGTTTATTTTATTTTAATTTATTTTTTGCCTATGAAATCACAAAATTTTATTATCAATTAAATCTTCAATTTCAATATCAATTAAAGTCAAAAACTTAGTATCTATACATGTTCTATCAAGTTGCCTTTGAAATTACAAAATTTTATTGTAATCTTCAATTTCAATATCAATTAAAGTCAAAAACTTAGTATCTATACATGTTCTATCAAGTCTCAAAGAAGCAATTTTCATAGAATCATTTATAGTTATACAACTTCATAATTGGTCATATTTCAATCTAGATCCAATACAATCTAGTGCCCATGTTTACTAGTCATACAAAAATTGCAACAAGCCTTTACCAATATAGAAAGAATAGGATTTTTTATACAACATAATGACATTCATTCTCTCATGCAAAAAATGGATGCCAAAGCATTTTTATTCAAATGTTATCACATGCAAAAGCATAGGGATGAATAATTTGATAATAGTAAGATATATTTTTTTTACATAACTCACAACATGAATGTCAACCACTATTGCTTTTTCTTGCCAACCAATACAAATACACCAAAACTAACATTCATATTTTTTCATGTATATTCTTTCCTTAACACTAATCACATTCATCCTGAAAAGAATATAAAGAAAAATCAAGAAAGAAAAAATCCATGCTGTCTTTCAACCCACCATTAACGTCCAACTACTCAATTTATTTGAAGACGAATTCATTCACAATTTTGATACAAGCGCAGACTTCATATAAGTTTTTCGTGAAAAGTGTGTTGTAAAACTTACATGACACGTTGATAATTCTCATCAAACCGCAAATATTCTAGAAATTTCTATTGAGTTTTCAAATATAGTAAACAATCAGAGATCAATCGTCGTTATCTACACTCATCGTGACAACGATAGGTCGAAGAATCTTGCAGTGCTTCAATTGGCCAGCCTTGCAAGTTGTCACCGTCAGGGTCAATTGATGTAAGAAATGCAAGAGCACTCTTACTGAATAATAATGCTACAATTGTAGCACATGGATGAGCTTATTTTGTAATACGTATTGGTGCAGATTAGGCACATGTTACAAAAACCTGATGGTCTTGTTACTGGAGAAGAAATCTCGTATGCGCACCGAACCGGAGAGAAGATTTCAGGAAAGGCCAGATCTGAGTGGAGACGTCTGCTCCCAGGGACTGGTATTAGCGTTGCCCAAGCAATGTTTCGCTGCATAAGTTTCCTGGTCAATGTGACTAATCTTTCACAAAGCAAGTGAAAGAATGCATAGCTGCTCATTATTTCGACACGGTTATTCGATGCCAAAATGCTCACTCATAACTATTGTCGCGAATGTCGACCAGATTATCATTTGACTTGTATACAAAAGTGGACCAGTTAGGGTGAAATTACAAATCGGCAACTTTTCCCGTCATCTTTCTCCAACGCTATAAATATTGATGCTGCAATCCTTGGATGCAGTTGCAAAGCTAGCACCAAGTCCATTTGTATGACAGGCCAAAGACAAGCAGTTGATTGAGTCTGAATGGTCTTGTAAAGGGGAATAGTCCAAGAACTCAGTAGCCAACTCCGTTTCCTTCGACATGCTACCATTGGAAGGAAAGATATGTGGCCAGAAAAACAAAGATCCATCCGCACTGCAAGAACATAAGACCCATATGAGAATCTAAAATTGCTTGTCAAAATCACTTAGTACACAATTGACACAGGAAAGTTGTAAGTCGAGAAGAGAAATTTTAAAATGGATAACCTTCCAGCGATGATCAGATCTCCTGCAATCTCACAGCACCGCAAGGAGCTCCCGCAATCTTTAGTAGCTAGCACAGCACCCGACTGCCTTGTCTGATTCAACACCACTGCCGTTAAGCTTGCACAATCGATATCACACAATCCCGTTCCCATTCCATTTAACTTCAATGCAGTGCACTTGCACAGTAAACATTAATAAAGTAGTGAAAACTTTATGTTCACTCGGCGCAGTCAAGTGGATGGTACGAAATGATTTTATACAATAGTTGTCCCTCTAAAATTGACTGTTTTTCCTGCAAAAGGTTCAGATTGTTTTGGTCCATTTATTTTGTTTCATACTTCAAGATTTGGATTTCATACCTCAAGAACACGTAATGAACCATCGGTGGATGCCACGACTACTTGATTGCTATCATTAGACAGACGCAATCCTGTGGCCGACCCACTACAGCTGCGATGCCAAACAGACGATCTTGGATTCCTCAAGTCCCAAGCAAGAATAGTGCCTGCAATTTCAAGTTCAATTATAGCTTAAATGGGAATTTTGATGTCGAGTTGGCCACGCCAGACCATCCCACACCACGCGTCAAATTAATCTCCCGTTACTGAACCCATCATGCTTAAGGGTTAGGTTAAAGGGAATAAAATGGAGACGGTAAAAGTACGAGTACGAAAAATAACTTCCAAAATGCAGGTAATAATCTTGTTGATCTAAACGAGCTAGCGAATAAAATATACTTGCAAGGCATAAATGAAGTATGCACTTTCAATCTTTAGGACAAGAAAACAGAACGGATAAACCGGCCGGAGCCAGCCAATGACATTCTTATTATTTTGACTCTTCCAAATCTGGAAAATGTGTCTTTCAAGAACAGAATAATTCATGTCAACAACAGCTTGGAATCTTGATTTTCAGCAATTTTGTAAAACATCGTATCAATACCAGATGACATCATACCATTTTTAGCTCCAGAAACTGCTAAGCTTCCTTCGGGCTGGGCATCGAGACACCACACTGCACTGTCATGCTCCAAAAATTCAGCCTCCGGTGTTGCTGCAAAAAAAAAAAAAAAAAAAAAAAAACAAAGCGTCAGTGATGAAGGTAGTTTGTGATGCAAGAGCAGAATGACGTTAATCACACACAATTATTCACAACACTATAAACTTCAACATAAGCAGGTATATCCACTAAAGCTGTAACTCCAAGAAGAGAAGGTTCGAAATCTCGGGCAACATCGGTCTTGAAAACAAGTTTATCCAAAGTGAGCATTTGTTTAAATTAAATGGTTTTGTAGAAATTGCAGCTTCACGAATCACAAAGTTATTAAAAATTATTGTAACTCAACTCCAAAACTCCAGAGGAAACGAACTTCTATTTGAGTTTCATAGAAACTATCACCTGCAGTTGCCGTAGCCCAACTCTCTCGTGCTTCGCCTATGCCCCAGAGTTTCACAGTAGAATCCCATGAGGCAGTCAGCATTCGCTCGCTGCTGCTGGTTACCATACGCACACATGACACAGCCTCGTCATGCACTCTCATCTGTCAAAACACAAAATATCTGATTATCAGCTTCAATAAAATCATTCTTCCCTACTCATTCATGCATTCCTGCAAGGCGAAATAAGCGTACGATTGACCTACTGCAGCATGTAGTCAAAGCAGGATTCAGTCAGACGTGGATCGATGAAAAAAAAAGAACAAAATTAACGCTTTGTTTTAGAACATAATTGTTTTTACTGTCACTATAATTCTGTACAAGATTATTCATTTTATTACAGAAAAGAAAATAGCCCTCTTAATGAACCGCATGAGAGATGCACAAAAACTACCTTACTAATTGCACTTCATCCTGATGCAAGATTGAGATGATTTACCTTGCTAAGAGCTCGTCCATAGTCTACCGAATATACATAGACGCAATCATCATAGGACCCAGCTAATACGATCTGCAACAACCAAAGTATAATGTTGATTTTTCATGACATTCAGTATTCAAAGATATATTCCATTTCATTTAACAAGATCCTTATTGATGCTCTGTTAAGAATAAATGTCTGAAGCCAAACGTGTAGCCGTAAGGCTGAACATGCCCGAATCAGCAATACTAACTAGGCTCATCAGTACATGCCTGATTCAGTCAGATTCTATTCCACTTGCATATTCATCTGTTGACTTAAATTTAGTGATAATCAAGATTCTCTTTCACAAAGCTTCCATTTTAAATAGCAGTGTCTACTAATTTCAGGTCCAGTGCGAAACGAACGGCAAATAGAAATTCGCTAATGTATCCCTCAATTATCCATTCTGTACTAGTGAAAGAAATATGTGAGGACATACTGGCCGGATAAGCATCTGAGCTCTTTGCTAGAGTTAGGCATGAGAGTGGTAAAGTTCCAAGCTTCGTTGCTCGAATCTGGAAGCCCTCTGAGATTGAATATACCTGTCATCATACACAACACTAATTTTGGTGTAAGACAGCGGAAACAAACAGACAGCAAAGATATCTTGTGTAGAGTATTGGTCAAATAGAAGACAAATATGCTACTTGTAGACATAAAGGTATCAAACAATGACAGAGTATCCTATAAATTATGTGCATCATTTGGAGGCAACCTTTGAAGGCACATAGAAGTCAGTGCAAACCACCTTTATGAAGCCGTCCCTGTCCACCGAGTACATGGTTACAGTTCCCGCAGCATTTTCTTCTGAGAGCACGCATCCATTTACAGGGCCCCGGTGCAGATGTAGACGTTGAGGCTCAGAAAGTCTCTGGCGAAACATGGAATGCCATGCCATTGTTTTATGGAAATCTTCTATATTATGAGGAGCCACACCCGCTTCTGAATCACGCTCTCCTATTTCCCTATCTTCCAAGTTGTCACTCTCCTGAGCAACTCTAGTCTCGACGATATTCTGGCGTTTTGTGTTTGGCAAGTGAAGTACTACATTTTTAACGACATCAAATGGATTGTTGAATTCAGCGAAGTCTAAACCTGGAGATGAAACTGCTGATTCAGTGCGCCAATCCGAAATACCCTCAGGTTTTCTCCAAGCGCTGTCTGGATACTCGTCATCATGGTTTTTACCCAGAGGACTGTCTTCTTTATCACTGTCACTTGACATAAATTGTGCTGCATTTTTCAAGGTTCCGGCTGGGATGGGTGTTCCAGCTCTCATTTTTCTAGTACGTCTAAATGGCGTCTGAGGTGAATCTTTGGACGTAACCTCGTCTGAGATAATCTGAAATTTGACAGAAGAAGTTGGAGTAAGAGGGGTTACTGTAGCAGGGATCTTTCGTGGAGAGGAGGCAAGAGCCATGATACGCGACACGAACTCCATGCTAAGTCCACGAAAGCCTTCTAATTTTGTGCTGTAGTCCGAAAGTGTGTCATTGTCCATGACCGTGGTCATTCTTTTCAGTAACCTGGGAGGATGAGGACTCGTGAAGAGCTGCCGCGGTGCTTGGCCAAACTCGTTGATCTGTTCAGGTAGAAAATCGTCCATATTGTTCACTTCAACAACAAAACTCTTGACGTATATGATGTGCAACAGCATATGGTGCACCATTTACATAATTGAGGAACCAGAAAACATGAGTAACAGATGATACCTGAGCTTCAAAGCCTGCGCGCTCAACTGGATTGTCAATGCTATCCAGATCAACTGCTCCTTCATACGTTAAAGGATGGTACAGGTTGTTTGCAGACAAAGCAGCCTGCAAACAAGTTAAATCTGATCATCAGTATGGTTCCTAATTTGTAAACAAGGTAAAGATATAGATGGAGCAGATTTATATCATAACGAAATGTCTCAGTGTTGGAAGCAACCTGATGTGGAGAAACAGAGCAATTGATGTAAAGCAACAGAAGCGCAGAACTAAGACTTCTAGAAAAGCTATTAAGTTCGCACCAAAAAAAAAAAAGATGGGTTAAACTTTCAGACCTCTCCTCGTTGTTTGTGTCCGAAAATCAGATCTATCCAGAAATGTAGTCGCATCGATACGTGCTGACTCTCCAAAGCTTGCCGATTCTTAGAAATGAAATCCTCGGGACCATTTGCCCTGAAACGGAATCACCTCAATGTACGCTCCGAAAGCCAGCAATTGATTTACCCAAAAATCTACACTTTGCTTATTTGAGTACCAAGAAACCCTCGCAAGTGGAATGCGTTCACATGAACAGAAGCTTGCAACTTACGCCTACTTTATAGGTGAAGGTAGAAAATTTTACCAAGGGGGCAACTTAACATCACCCACGGGCTCTTCATTCTGACGGACACCCAAGTTCAAACCTTCTCTGCAGTATCAAATCGATATTTGATCAGAATCTCAAATATTTGCAATCAAACGCGCAAGTTACTGTTATTGATATGAAGAGATCCCATTCAATCATTTTGTTGAACTGAAAAATAACAAAGAAACAGGAATAAATAACAGCATTAATTTCTTAGTAGAGAACTTCGTTCACATACCTCTTTACTAGGAAGTCAGAAGGGGGACAATAAAATTCAGGAATCAGTTCCTTCAAGTCAGCTGGATTGTTGAGTACACTTTCCCAAGCATCTGCGACGCTCACGAAAAGACGATCGGGAGCATCAAACTTGCCATTCTGTCATCCATCGTTTCCAAATCAGTAACACAACAGTAAAATTCCCATTTGCAAATCGTTGCGTTACCAAAAAGTTCTCACTGCTTGAACACATAGCACCTTGCCATGTTGTACACAGGAAATGGGTTTTTCCATGACACATTACTGTCGTCTCATCATTCGCACAAACCAAGCATATTCCTTCTCGAGTTGATTACGATTAAGGCTTTGAAGTACATCTTCAAACCCTGAACCTTAGAATACTTAGTAATGGAAATGCGTGTTCCGTCACTAATGCTTCTTCACAGTTGGATACACAATCTTCAAAGTATTACACCCTGTATTAACATTCGGATATATTTGACGATGCTATCGCTAAGGAAAGTACCTGAAGGCGAAGCATGTGAGCTGGAGCACCTCGAACAAGCCAGTAAAGAACATACCTGCCATGATAAGTCAACAGCCTTGCCTCAGCATGCCGAAAGAAACTAACTTCTTCGCCCAATAACTTACATAAACACCCAATATGTCGAAGTTATCATAAAATAACAGCTTACCCAGGGGTCGAATAATGAGTTCCATATAGAAACGGGGAACTTGAATTGTCTCCCTCCGGCATCTACATTAACGTTAATTATTCAAATCATTCATGGCCAAGTAAGTATGATCTTCTATGAAAATAAAGCATTCCTACATCATAATGAGATCATAAGTTTCAGAGTAACTCTACAATGATTTCATTCATACGACACTATGGCCAGATCGACCTAAAGCACGGGAAGCGGCGCAGTTCTTCTAAAAAGCATACCTCTGAAAGGCGTTCCCAAAAAACTTCGAGACGTGTAGGGTTAAGAGCTCCAATAGGCTGTCATTACATAATCATTAGGATAAGAGCAGTGACCGTATACTGCAATGTCTGCGTATACTAGAAAACAAACGGGCTTATAAGCAACAGATAGTCTTAAATATCCAAGACCAGGTAAGATAAATGACCTTAGACAAGTCACGATAAACACTTGGATCTGTGAGATCCAGTTTTGAGCTTTTGTAGTCGCATAACACCCATGGCATGATAGGCCATTGCGTAAGATCACAGAAGCTACGTCCAGCTGCTAAATTGAGATACATTAAGTAATCGTAGTTTGAAACAAGCCTTGCCTGGCGAAAACATGTTCACGTCATCAGATATTTTGAGATTTAAGAATAGAAAATCTAGTGCATTCAAATCTTTGTCTTCAACAGAAACTACAAAGTAGTAAAAGCAGTGAATCTATTGCTGCCGCTCACTTTTTGACAAATCGAGGGTTTAAGGAAAATCCTATGAGGAAACTATATAATCAACAAACACGATATATGAAGGACTAAGACACAAAAGAAATCTCCAGTTGAGTAAATGTTCTATTCTTAGTTAGATAAAAAAATAGTAAAAAAAAAGAAAAAGAAAAAGAAAAGACACAAGTGCTATGCGTAAGCTGTTTGACCAAGTTCACTAATTATGGCCTTGCAGCAGAAGTAGAGCAGCAGAAAAGACCAGGCAAGAGAAAAACAAAAGGCTCAAACCTGCCAGGCTGCAGTAATTCTGTTGAGCCAGTAGCTGTCGGCTTCAAGGAGTGATCCTGCAGCGGCAGCAGCACCTGATTGACCCTGTTAGCACCGATCAATCAGCTCAACCATTCAATATCCTGCTCAGCATCCGTTTTTCAGTGTAAGTAATATCTTGCTTCTCTTACTGGACCCACTGTTTTGAGGTGTGCATCATGCATACATTCAGATTTATTAAGCCATTGAGAGACATTTCATACGCATCGATATTAAGTACATCGGCTGCATCATCCCTCAAAACGAAGTCAATAAGTGGATGAACAGGGAACCCAAAGTAATAACACACTAAAACTAGTCTACCCAAAAACTTTAGAAGTGCAATCACTAGTGACAATGCATCTTATAACGGCATGGCAAGCAGCAGATGCTCTGCAACGATTCATCAGATAAACAACTGTAGATGAAAAATATGCCCATTCTCACTATTCCTCTTTACAAAACACATGATCATGCAGGATTGAGGTTAGATGTTTACCCCTAGCTGTTCGAACAGCTTGGATACAACCTGCTCACGTAGTTTAAGATCACGAAAGGTGAAAAATGCACTTGCACCCTCGGCAACTCCACCACTGGACGCAGCCCCTGACACAAGATTAGCCTTGAAAAATATTTCCATTCCAATAGGTCGTAGCGAATGCCGCCGACGTGCTACAGCTATAATTTCGCTGTAAGGCTGTGATCGTACTGGATTATCATTGTTTAGATTATGCAGTGGCTGCAGACAAAATAGTGAAATAATGTAAAATTCTGGAGCATGCTGACAGACAAATGCTGTATTTTAATGAATTCATGTGAACTCCAACCATCGCAGTATTATCATTTAAGATGAAATTTTGACTAGTTCCTTGAAAAAAGAAATCTGAATTTGAGCATAGTATCGCCATTACAAGCTCCTACATCTTTGTATAATCCAAACAATTTTAACGTATACCTGGAAGTAGATTCGGGATTGTGTCAACACTAATCGACCTGGTTCTCGAACCAATGGAGTAACCTGCCGAAAACTCAAAACGCCAGAAGCATCAGAGAAGAAGCTTGCTGTGAGCACGAAAATCAGACAAATAAACCGTGTATCTTTCTGTATTTTTTAAATGGTACGAATTCAAACACAAGACAAGGTGGAAATCATGAACCATTCAAAAGTAAGTTAAACAATAAATACACTGCATACCTTGGTCAGAGATGACTACTCTTATTAACGTAAACAGGTGTTTTCAGCAGAATTCAACCATGATAAGAAGTAATCCAGATGGGTTCACGGAAAACAACAAGAAACTAGGTGAAAATCATACCTGAGCAGCTGGAAGGTCGAGTAAGACGTACTCGCTAAAATACACAAGGCGACTTTGGTCAAAATGTGCCTGGGCCTCTCTTCGTGCAGCTGCATTTTGTAGTATCATATCCCTTTCATCAAAGGGTAGTGCATTTATGGATAACAAGGACTGCGCCTGATGCAAAAACTGCAAAATGGAATGCACAAGCTCACTTGGATCAGCGTTAATCCACTTCACCATATGAGCGCAATGGAATGTCCCCACACCCCTTGTAATGGATTGAGAACCCGCAACGACTGGTTACAGAAAATTTAATGCACCTGTTGAACAGGTGAGAACTCCATCGTGATCCACCAGATACTGTCCTTCTTTTCGATCACGTACGGAGCATCAATCCCATTCTCTTTCATTTTTACGAGCATGCTCGTGCTCACTGCAAACCCTTCCTGTCGACTCCTAAATTTGCTAGCTGGAGTAGAAACAGTCGGGGAGGGCTCTACGAGCTGCTCAATCTTTTTTATTTTCGAAAAAGGAAACATGAGTATAGGAGCCTTGATGTACTCAGGCTCAAAAAATATAGCTCGTGCGCATAATCGTAGGCGACCCTTCAACCTTCTTTGCTGAGAGGGCTGTAACGGAAATGAATTACGAATTAAAAATAAAAACCATGGGTTTCATGTCACCAAAATTAGGTCTCGGCGTTACTCAAATGCTCATTCTCATTAACATGTGCTGAATAGTAATGAAACTAGAGAGCCAGAACTGCCTTCGTGAATTCATGGAGTTAGACACTCGTACAAGCACGTCACTGAAGAAACGTTAACCTGAAGCGTACCTTCTGTGCACCAGGCCCGACCAATCCAGGCCTACAGGAGGCAATCCAATCTTGGATGTAGTGGTCCCCATCCTCCAAAAGAAGATACGAAAACCGCTCAATAGGTATCCCACTCTTATCCGTCCACATTTTCACCTTACAATATCTACTGCCTGATGTTTGTTTACCAGAATCTATAACAGTTGCCGTTCAATATCTTAATCATACAAGTGCACAACACAAGAGGCCTTGAAGTATCATGGACCAATGCCAAGAAAAGTGCCTTTCGAGATGTCTCCAATTTTATATACACTACACCTCCTGAACAAAAATCTTCATTTGTGTCTACTCTTATAGAAGCAAGTTTTCTGCAAATGCTGTACAGGTAATGTGAATCTAACTAATTGGATCATCAAATTGCCGCCCCTCCAGGACATTGAACCCTAAGGCAATGTGGCCTCGAGACGCAGAGATCCCGTTCCAGAATCTAGTGTCGAAGGAGACACAAGCAAGGCGTCCCAGGCTCCAACCACAAGAGGTCTTCAAGCTCCGCTCTCTGTTACAGAAAATCAACACGATCGCACAATTTTCTACGCGTGAGAATTATCTCAGAGACAAAACGAACTACCGAGTTCTCAGCTGGAACCTTAATTCACCAAGTAAAAGAAACAACGCTCAGTTTCAAATTCTCATAATTTGATCTACTAATAAGAAATGCTCATAAGAAACGTTCTCCGAACATCAAAACCACCAGCTCCCACTCTCAACGGAACCACGCAACCACGGAACGAGGGAGAACAAAATGCGGCTACGAAAATCCTCCACACAGCGCCAAAAGAGAAAAACGAAACCTGCAAAAACCGTCCAAAGCTCCCGTCACGGAAAGTGTCCGGCACGAGAGGCGCACCACAGCCCTGAGGCTTCCAGGACTGCGTCGGAGATGGCCAAATTTGGACACAGGCAGGCAGGCAGGCACGAGCAATCTGCAGGCTCCAAGAGTGTGCGAGCAACGACAACAACAAAAACAAAGGGGAGCTTCATCTGGCGGAGAAGCTTCTGTAGGTCCCCGACCCTGCTTTGCGTAATTAAGATTGCTCCTTCTCGTTCGAGTTCGGGAACTCGTTTGGGTACTTCGGGAGCGGCTAGAGCTCCGTTCCCTATACGAAGAGTTATCTTTCTCGTTGAGATTCAGTCGTCGAGCTCTGCCCACTATCTCCAAATTAAAAATCTCTATTCAGGAAAAGCCAAGATCTATATGGTTGACTATTATTACCCATCAGATTTGCAGATGGGGGTGGGGAAATAATGTAGAGGGTATTCATGTTATCGATGATTAGATGTTGAAGAAATAAAAACAGTTAAAGTGGTCACTTTAGGCTCTCACACCCACTCCAATTTAATTATTTAAAAATAAAATAAAATAAAATGAATATGCTAGTGAAAGATTTCTCGTGGAGAAATTCTTCTATGGACTTTATCAATTGAGGATCCGTAGGGAATATTTTGGGGACAGTGAGTGCGCATGTCTAATAAGCTCGTGAGGAAACAGTCCCGCTGGTGAGAACGCGTCAAGGACTGACTCACTCTTTGAGTTCGGCAGCGGTGGAATGTGTGAACGTTGTTCCCATCGAAGATACCGAGGTTCCCCAACGTACGCACTCCAGTGCTTTCTTGGCATGCATTTGGAGCGGCGGTACCCAATTAGATCCCAATGCCAGGTTCCCCTCCTTGTCCACGTCAGCTCACAAATAGGACAAGGTGGAAATCCAAGTGCCGCAGATCCGAGGTGGACATAGAGCGTGGACATTCCACGTCGGATTCCTATTCCAGCTCAGCATTCCGCACTGGTGGTTGTCGCACGAGCTGGACGTTCGGTGGGGTCCACCTAGACATGGTCTTTTAAAGGCAAACTTTCTGTCTCATATAATTGAAGGGGCGAGGGTCCACCCCTTGAAAAATATATTTTTATTAAATGATGGTATTAAAAACATTCCAAACTTGTACTTTGATAACTTCACTTCTAAAAATGAGGTATGAACCATTAATGCTTGATATCGTTCCTTTTTAAGTATTGGGGACCAATAAATACTGGTAAAGTGCAAAAACTAAGTGTATGCTAATTGCAACTCTTAAGAATGTTTAGAAAGACACAAGATTAATAGTAAGTCATACACACACACACACACACACACAAGAGTAGTAGTAAGTCATACACACAAGAGGGTTTCTAAGGAGAGAGAGCTTCATATACACAAATCTATTGATCTAGTTGTGTCTCGTATACAAGAAGAGAAAAGAGGAGAAGATAAACAATACTTCTCTACTAGACTCTAAATACTGTAGCTATGGTAATTACTATAGTCTACAGTAAATATTATGGAGAGCGCTGGCTACATTTAATGATCTCAACACTCCTCTTTGCTTATCATAATATTTATATAATATAAAGTTTGTATAAAATTATGATCTATACTTTTCTATGATCTTTCAAGTTCAACAATTGTTGCCTCATTAAAACCTTATCTAGGAAAACCTTATTGTATTTAAGGACAAAACCATAGATGAAGGAAAAAGAGTACAACATCATTTTCTTTAATTATTTAAAGAGCTCATTAACTTTCTTATTCAAGAAAAGCAAGTCGCCGCATACCAATGCCATAAGTAAGTCGACGATGGTTACTTAATGGGAGAGCTTTGGTGAAGAGATCAGCAAGGTTATTTGTAGATTCAATTTTCTTAATTATAAGTGCTTGATCAGTAATCAAGTCATGAATATAACTAAAATACTTTGGATCAATATGCTTTGTCCTGTCACCTTTAATAAAACCAACTTGCATCTATGCAATACAAGTACTATTATCTTCATGCAAGATAGTTGGAGAATCATCATATGAAAATCCACAGGTTGTTTGAATGAATTTATCAATTGATTGCAACCAAATACATTCTCAAGATGCTTCATGTCAGGCAATAATTTTTGCATGGTTGGATGAAGTTGTAATTATTGTTTGTTTCAATGATTTCCATGATATTGCAGCTCCATATCTTAAAAATACATATCCTATTTGAGATTTAGCTATTGTAATATCAGATTTATATCCTGCATCACAATATCCAACTAATTTTGGATCTGCAGATTTTGTGTAGTATAATCCCAAGTCTTCAATACCTTTTAAATAATGTAATAAATATTTGATGCCATTCCAATGTCGAGGTGTTGGACGTGCACTATTTCTTGCAAGAACACTAACTGCAAATGCAATATCTGGTCTTGTAGATGTAGCTAAATACAAAAGTGCTGCGAGGTATGGATATTAGTCTCCCAATATTTTCTCCTCTTCCTCATATGGACGGTATGGATCATGACCATCACGACCACGTCCAATCATTGGTGTGGACAATGGATAAGCATCAATCATATTAAATCTTTGCAAGATTCGTCTAATATACATTAGTTGGTAGAGAAAAATGCTACCATCTGTTAGATGCAAAATCTGAAGACTAATGCAAAAAGTTATTTTTCCTAGCATTTTCATCTCAAATTCACGTATAAGTAGGTTTGTAGCTGTAACACATGCAGATGTAGTGTCCACTAGGTTAAGATCATCAACATATACAGCGATGATTACAAAACCAGTTTTTATCTTGTTTGATAAACAAACAAGGGATTAGTGGATCACTTATAAAATTATTTGTAATTAAATAATCTCAAAGACATTGATACCACATTCGTCTGGATTTTTTTAAATCATATAAGGACTTATATAATTTAATACCACAATATTTTTCTAGAGCGGGTTGATTTGGAGTTCCTGTTTCTAAGCCAGGTGGAACTTTCATATAAATATTTGCATCAAGAGAACCATATAGATATGCAATTACTACATCCATCAGATGCATCTCAAGGGTGGCATGAACTGTCATTCCAATAATATATCGAAATGTAATTGAATCCATGATTGGAGAATATGTGGATTCATAATCAATGCCAAATCGTTGAATAAATCCTTTAGCAACAAGACGAGCTTTATAGTGGATTATTTGGCCTTGAGCATCTTGCTTATGTATTAATACCATTTTATATCCCACAGGGCGAGATGTAAGAGTGTCTACAATTGGACCAAAGACTTTCCTCTTATGCAAAGAGGCATATTCCTCTTCAATAGCAGTTTTCTATTTTGATCAATCTGAGCGACTCATCGCCTCTTCGATGGTTTGAGGTTTAGGATCGTCTTTCTCACAAGAAAGGGCTTCTATAATCATATAGGCAAATGATTCATCTACCATAATAGATGGTCTGTCCCAAATATCATCTGTAGCACAATACAGAATAGATAATTCTTTACTCAACTTGTTTTTATTTCTTCCAATTCTAAGATTGTTTTTCATAGGAATTGAAGGTATATTATGCATAGATATATCATCATGAATTGGTAGTCGTATAAGATGAGTGGTAATTTCTTGAGAAATAATACTAGGATTAGTTAATTTTATAGCTTTCTTCTTACGTAGTTGCTTATTTGGTCCACGAGTTCTTTTAGTTGTTGTTGTTATAACTTGAAGCATTGTAGTCAATGGCACTGCAATCTGAGCTAGTGCACTCTGAGCCTCATTAATAGGAAGTCTTGTAATTCTAGGTACATCATTGAAGCCATGAGGTATTTCATCCGCGATCCGTTTTAAATGTAAAATCTTAGCAACATCAGTTTGTTCCAAAGATGTCCTAGGATCGGGATTCATTGTAAACATTTTTGGTACTTCAAATATGAGTACTTTATTTCTTTGCTGATTGGATACTTCTCCTTGAAGAGATGAAAATACAGTTTCTTCAAAATGGCAATTTTACAAACATGCACGTAATAATGTGCCAGTTGATGGATCAACGATACAAATAATGCTTGGTGAATCAAAACCAACATATATGCCTTTTTGTCGATGAGCTCAAATGGTACGCCATTGAGGTTTTGGTAATGGAATCCAAGCACGGCAACCAAATACTCGTAAGTGAGATACATTTGGAACACGACCCGAAATGAACTCATGTGGTGAAACAATTTCAAGAGAAGAAGGGCATAGGCATATTAATGCTAGAGCATGTAAAATTACATGACCCCACATAGATGCAGGTAGATTTGCGTGAGGGAGGAGTGGCCGGATAATGAGTTGTATATGCTTTATAAATGACTCTGCAAGTCCATTTTGAACATGTTTATATGAAACACAATATGTCAACTCGATTCTTGTTGCAGTACAATAGTCTTCAAAAGACTTTGAAGCAAATTCTTTTGCATTATCCATACGCAATGTTTTTATAGGATAATCAAGAAAATATGCCCCAAAACAAATAAGTATAGATATAAGATTGGCAAACGCCATGTTTCGAATTGATAATAATGAAACATGTGATTGTTTACCTGATGCATCAACAAGGACCAAAAAATAACGAAATGGTCTTGATATTGGATTAATAGGACTATAAATATCCCCATGCAATCTTTCAAGCATTGGTGGTAATTCTTGTAGAAGTTTCCAAATTGAAGGCTGAGTAATCATTTTACCTTGCATGCATGTACAACATAATTCCATAGAATCTACATCTGCAGGCTTTAAATTGTGCCCAATTATACATGGAATGATCTTTCTAAATAATGTGGATCTTGGATGTCCCAATCGTCCATGCCAAAGAGAAACACGACTCTCTGAGATAAATGATGCAAAATTAAATATAATGGGAGGTCGAATCACAATTTGGTATAAACCATTTTCTGTAGCAAAAGCTTTTTCAACAACTTTATGGTTCTTCGTAAGAATCAAAACTTCTTTTCTATTTAAAGTGGCGGTCGA